TTAGCTAAAGTAGATTAAGCCTTAAAGACAGAACACAAAACTCCTAAAAAAGAAAATTATATTGCTTATCCTTTGGTAAAAATAGAATTTGGGATTCTTCAATTGGACATTCCCATCCCCTTCTTTCCTTGCAGCTCCCACGCACTTTGATTTCCAGGAGTCCCTGATTCTCCCCAAATAATTTTATTGAGAGAGAGTGTGTGTGTATGTATATATCCCCCATATTTATTATTTTTTATAAATAACTCAGGGCCAAAAATATACCTAATATTCCTTCCTCCTCCTATTTCTCCCATAACAACAACCCTGTAAAGTGAGTTGGGCTGAGAGATAGTGACTGACCCAAAGTCACCCAATCAGTTTTCATGCCCAAGGCAAGACTAAAATTCAGCATCCCAGTTTTTAGCTGCTACCCTAATTGCTAACTGTTTTGTATTCCAACCTAGCTGGATTTCACTTTATAACTTTTATATAAAGTTATCTATATAACTTTTGCTCTAACATAATATCAGAAGTTGCTGACGTTCTCCCTTTCTTTTCTCCCGTCCCTTTAAGTATTCCAGACATGCTAAGTTACTCCCTAATGCAAATTGCAAATTGACATCAGCATGGTTGCTTTATTATCCCTCAGCCTCTAAATCACAACTCATGGTGTCACCTTGCTGCCATGTGACGTTTTGCAATGTTTTTCCCCATTTGTGGAGCTGGAGTGCGTGTGGCCTGTGTGTGACGCATCCGACCCACGGGCCAGAGGTGATATTCAACAGGTTGTGATCAGTTCTGGAGAACCGCTAATGGAAATTTTGAGTAATTCGGAGAACCAGTAAATGCCACCTCTGACTGGCCCCATCCCATCTATTCTTTGCCTCCCAAGTCCCATAGGGAAGAAATGATGATTTTGCAGTAATCTTCCCCTGGAGTGGAGAGGAAATGGAGATTTTTACAGTATCCTTCCCCTGCCATGCCCACCAAGCCATGCCACATCACACCCACCAAGCCATGCCACGCCCATAGAACCAGTAGTAAAAAAAATTGAATCCCACCACTGCAGCGGCCACCAGTTTGACATTCCTGCTCTAAATAAAATGACCAGGACATTATCATTTTTCTTTACCTAGCTAAGCAAGAGGAAAACAAGTCTGGCTTTTGTGAAAAGCCATATAGTTTAAATTGAAATCCATACTTTAAACTTCTGGGATTCTGAATATCCATGAATATAATAGTTGTCGGGTTTAAATGGTATAGCCTTAAATATATTCAAAAGTCACAAAACAAGTGTTTTTTTATCTATTGATCTCTATGGACTGCATGGATGTGAAGTAAGAAAAAGTCTGAACTTCTAGGATTACAATAACTTGAAATTTTAAAAATCATAAACAATAACTTAAAGGCTTACTTTACAAACATTGCATTTACACCCATTTTAGAACAGAGATGGTTTGCAGCATTATCATTAAAGCTCATGTGAAAAACTCAGTCAGGATAAAACTTGGTCACAGACATTCCTCAATGTAGCAAAACATTGTATCATGAAAGCTTATTCAACTTTCTTTTTCAGCCCTTCCCAGTTCTTTATGTTGTATTAAGCAGCAGTTTAATGCAGATTATTAAATCCCATTCCTCATGGGTATCATCCAGATCACGCCTTTGGTAGCTTTTTTTTTTAAAGAAGAAATTAGTGCTAATTAATATTTTTATTAAAATTGGGTTTATTTATATATTTTTAATATACAAGTCAAAATAGCAATTACACCAATACTCCTTCCACTTCCTATTTTCTCACAATACCAAGCCTATGAGATAAATTGGGCTGAGGGTTTTTTTCCTCTTCTTTTTAGAGTTTTTCTGCAAACACAGGTCAGCTTTCTTCAGATTAATCCATTGTTGATCCACTTCTGATAAGAATTGACCAAGCAGATTATGGCTGGAGCCTGGGATAGGCTGAGACAGTAAATGACTGGCCCAAAGTCACACAGCCAGTTTTTCGTGCCAAAGGTGGAACTAGAACTCATAGTCTCCTGATTTTAGTTGAATACCTTAACCACTACACCAGGGCTGTCAAACTTGCAACCCATGGGCTGGATGTGTCACATGCTGACCACGCCCATGCCCGGTGAAGGGGAAAAGTCCCAATATGTCACGTGATGCTGCTGTGACAACATGAGTTTGACATCCCTGCACTATACCAACCTTTCTCAGGTTTAATGCATGATTTCAATCATCCCTACAGAATTGACTTTATACTGTGAAACCAAAATACTTAAACTAGGTGCTAGTCGTTACTTTTAAAGCCCTACATGGTTTNGGAGTCTATTCTTCCCTATCTATCTTGCATAGCTTCTGGGCACTAACATACATTAATTGCATCTCCTGTTCAGCATATGATCAAGATATACAAGTGAATATTATCTGAATATTGATAATAGTTCACGATATTCTAGTGGATTACATCTCCTAGTGACTTTGTGAAGATGTTAATCTACACAAAGTGAAAGAGGAGACTTGTGGCACTCTGTAATAGAGGGCCTTATAGCTTGGACCACACTCCAATCACTGTCACTGACTGAAATTGATTTCCAGAGGAAGGAGAAGAATCACTATAACAAATCTCAACCCCAGAGGTAGATCAGAATGGTATCATGATTTATAGTATTGAAGTGTTGAGAGGTCAAATAAAACCAGATGGGCATATTCCCGTTATCCTGGTCCTATCAAGGGATATCCATAAAATTAAGCACTATGGTCTTGTTGCCATATCCAGCCTGAATCCAATTTAAATAGGTTCAAATAATCTTTTTCTCTGGGACCCTTCATATTTATGGGCCCACCACCTTTTTGACAAAATGTAAAATTAAAACCAAATTGATAGTTACCCAAAACACCTGGATTGAGTGATGTCTTTTTAAAGATGGTACAAATAATTGCCTCTTTCAAATATGGCAGCACTTTTATGGATACATTTACCACCATTCTGACCTAGTCACCCATTATCACCCTAGTGGCTTTTAGCAATCAACAGGACCACGGGTTTAGTCCACAGATGGAAAGACTGGTGGTTTGAAGGACTCTGCCTATTTCCTTGAAAGAACAATTTTGCAAAATTATCTTTCTTGGACCTGCCTAGCTGTCATCTAATTCCAAGTAGACTCAAAATATTTTATCCTCAAGGTGCACTGAAAATTCTCCACAGTGGCTTGGCACATTCTTCCAGCTTATCCTTTCTCTGTTAATGTCTGAAGATCTCTAAAAAGGGAAAGTGGGTAGCAATCAGAGTTTTCATAAGAGCAGACAAATATTGCTGCTTTACGATTNGTCTAACTGCTATTGCTATTGCTAACTGCTATTTCCAGGAATTGTTGTAGCAATGCATCTAAATACTGAAAAGCATCAAATCTAGTGTTGTTCTGGGAAATGCCATTAGTGCTTTTCTTCCATTTATCTCATATCTATTAATGCCAGAATACCAAGTTTTAAAGAAGCTCTCCATGGGAATGAGAGCTTGCTTATTCCTTGTCCCAATGAGACAAAAGGAGTTCCTAAAGTTTCCTCTCTTTCAATGTTACTGGATCCCCTGGATGACCTTTACTGCACTATGACAGTAGGAGCAACTCTGAAATAAATAATAGGTGACTGCAGGTAGAAGCTGCCATTTTAATTTCCTCAAAGCCAGAATAGCATCATTTCATCAGGGAGGCTGGAGAAGAATCAAAAATTCCATCAGCTACTGTGTTATGCTCTGTAGCCTCTAGGTATCCATGGAATCTTTTTCAAACACTTTCTCTATTAGCCCAACGTCCATGCAGCTATCAGTACAGATGGGTCATCCTGGGATCTTGCAAGCCTGTTTATTCAAGGAAGGCAAGGTTGGTATAGGAAAGCAAAGGCATAGAACATTTAACAAAAGGGGAAAGAAACAGGAAAGAACTAAAGGCACAACAAATGGAAGATAATTATGAGACTGTAAGTCTAAACTATAGTGTTATGAAAAAAATAGCAAGGATTCAATATGTTTTTTTTTAATCGATATCCCCCAGATAATTGTTGTTAGTTGCTAAGTCATGTCTGACCCATCGCGACCCCATAGACAATGTTCCTTCAGGCCATTCTGTTCTCTACCATCCTCTGGAGTCCATTTAAGCTCACACCAGAGGTGGTATTCAGCAGGTTCTGACTAGTTCTGGAGAACCAGTAGTGGAAATTTTGAGTAGTTCTCCCCATCTATTCTCTGCCTTCAGAGTACCAATTGATCAGGAGGAAATGGGGATTTTACAGTATCCTTCTCCTGTCACGCCCACCAAGCCATGTCCCACCCACTAAGCCACAGCTCGCAGAACTGGTAGTAAAAAAATTTGAATCCCACCACTGGCTCACGCCTACTGCTTCAGTTACTCCATCCAGCCACTTCATACTCTGTCCTCCCTAGATGATTAGAGTGTATCTAACTGAAGCGTGCAATCAATAAGGCATTTGCCTTTATAGAGTTCCCCAACACTATCTGCAGAGAATGGGGGAAGAGATTTCTTTGGGCACACTTAAAAACAGGCTCGCAAATCGGGATTTTGGCATAGGAAGAAAAGGCTGAGTCGGGTTCCCCGGTCTCTGGGCCACTCAAAACATAAGGTCCGGGGTCTGCACTACGAGACAGCCAAGATTAACGTAAGGTCCCAGTCTGCACTTCGAGGGAGACAAGCGTCTCGGCCGAAACTAAGCAAAGTTTTACCCAAAGGCGTTTTTCTCCGAGTCCTCTGAGCCTTAGTGAGACAGGCGTGCTTAAAGAGCCCCCCTGGGCTGGATTTTTTTTTCTTTTTCCGCGAGACCGTACCAGCAAAACGGGCGGCAGCTTTCCGCCTCCACCCTTCTTTTCCCGCCCTCCTTTAAGCCAAGAGTTCGCAACGTTTGCATTGGCGGCCGTCCTAGAAGGGCATGGCTTGCAACCATGAGGAGGAGGAAGGCAGCAGTCCAGCCGCACCGACTGAAGCTCTAACAGCTCCAGTTCCAGCTCCGGCTCCCATCTCCGAGTAGAAGGTCGCCCCGTTTCGTCGCCGCTCTTCTTCCTAGCCGGCAGAAATCACGTGGAGGGCTGGCTCCTTTCCCAGTCTCCGCGATCGCAGTAGCGGCGTGGCTATTTTAAAGTCAACCCCCCCCCCTCCTCTCTAAGCCAAGGAGTTCCTCCTAGCTTGGGACCCGTCTCAGTTTCAAACCTGCGGCTCCCAGGCAATAAAGGTTTATACTCGTAGGCGCCTTGTGCGAGCGCCCGCGTCCGGGGTAAAGCAGTGGAATTTCGCCTTGCAGGATTTCGAAGCGCCCCGTTTTCCCGCTACGCCCCTCTCCCCCCTCCCTTCAATCCCTATGTAAGGCTGCCTCGGGGTAATGGATTCCCGAGCGTGAACTATTAAACTGCTTCTGGCAAGTTATGCTTGCTGCCTGCCATGCGGTTGTGAGCTGTCTTGAATGAAACGCGCCCGGCGGGAAAGAAGAGAGCCAAACTGAGGAGGAAGAAAATAATAATAATAATAATAACCCAGGACGCGTCTCTTTCTCTACTCCAAGTTTTCAATTCAGCCGCCTCGAGATGGATGGGGATGGGATTCACCTCCACAGAATGGCCCGCGCGTCATGTAAGTGTTACTCGTTTCCTTTGGGGAGGAAATGCAGAGATTGGGCTTCAGGGGCGGCAGCAGCAGCAGCAGCAGCAGGGACCGTAAAGTCTCTCTTTTAGCTTTAGTTATTCTGTCCCGGGACGCAAGTGATCGAAAACTCTCCCACCGAAAACATCTGGACCTTCCTCATAAATGGAATAGGAGGGCACTGCGTTGGAGTCGTGCCAGTTTTGCTGAAAAGGAAGGAGGAACGCGGCGGCGTTCTTTAAAAAAAATGAAATTGGGGTTTTAATATCGGACAAGCATTAGATGCTCAGCTTATTCTTAGGACGATTCTCTGGGCGATTGTTTCTGTTGCGTCTATGACCCACAAAAGGAATGTTTTCAGACGTATTTCTGTCCATTCACGTATGGATTTTATTCATATATTGATTTTGAAACGTCACCATGCAAATAACAGCTGTCATATATGAATGGCATTAACTATATTACTGCTGATTATTTAGCATGGTTGCATATGCATGTACTAATGACTACATATTCATTATTTGGAGCGATCAATATTCAGGGTATTGTGCTCCAACTTCGTTTATAACTGTATAAAATGAACGTGGAGCTACTGATAATAGGGACTGAGCTGGGTGTGTGTGTAAAGAAAGACTGTACATAGGTCCGAACTCTGTGATGGTTATTTGTTAAAGAAGTAAAAGTAGTGAGATCATCGTGAATTTCATTCAAAATACTTCTAGTGAAGCCAAGATGAGAGGCTATTGAAAATATATTGAACTTGTAAAAGTAGAAGAAAATTGAATCTTAGAAGTGATTCCATATTCCCATAAGTAATTGACAAAGATGACATTTTCATATTTAATATACATTTGCTCTCTCTATGCTTTTCAGAGCTTCACAACAGGTAATAATCATTGTGCAGTTCTAGTTTCTTTCCAGGATTGTTTCAAAACTCAGTGGTTAAGTTGGAATATGCAGAAATACAACTGGCCAGCTGAACTGTATACAAATGAAATGTAAATTTAGAATGGCACCATTTATGAATTCCTTGCTTTGTAATCAAGAGGCCAAATCTGGCTGTTTGATTCTAAGAATAGAATGGGGAACCCTTTTCTTCACTTCCTTCTTTAAAATGAAGTGCCACCAGTATCCTGAAGCTGTTTATTAAAGCAGCCAAATATTACATTGGAGTTCAGCCCATATCTAAAAGTATCGCTGTATGCTCATCCAATCTCTCAGGCTAGAGGAGAAGAAAGTGTAGACAAGGGGCACTTAAGAAAATTAGCCTGATACGAATCAGCTGTGGTTTGATTACTTGCCACTTTTTGGGACAGTAGATATAACTCAGATTATCAGTGTGAAAAAGCCCCTTATCAAAATTTAGCACAAGGGGTGGAGGTTTTGTTGAAAAAGACAAGTCAGCTAGAACTTAGGGCATTAGTTATTAATATTTGGGGCAGTGGGTATTATAAAACAGATTATTATTCATAGGGTATTTACAGGGAACTTGTCATATGCATCAGCTGATCTGTAGAACATCAAATGAACAAATAAACTAATATTTGACATTTGTATTTTCATTTGTTCAACCTGGACGACATAGAATTATATTATTCTGTGTTAAACATGTAGGATATACTCCAAAGGAGAAGAGATGTGTTTTTCCCTAGCTAATAGAATATGTACATTTTAAAAGATCTAGATTTAGTTCCGTAGAATAGTTATGTAGCATTGAGTATTAGCCAAGGACCATGACATGAAGACCATTACTGAAAGATCTGTAGATATCAGATTTATTTTAAACAACAGAAAACAACTTAATTGCTTTCTGTGAATATTCAGAAATATAGGCTATGTATATATTAGATCCAGAGGTAGGTTTGACCCTTGCTCTGATACTATGAATATCTTATTCTGTTCCAATCTTTATTATTGATACTTACTGACTTCCCCATCTATATGGCTTATGGTTCTTTATCATAGAAAAAAAGTTCTCTAATTGCAAAAGGGGCAGGAGAAAGGTTTTTGTGATGCCTTTTCTTATATATACTATTTTGAAAAGGCTACAGAGAATATATGATTAGCTAAAAGTGGGAGGTGGAAATGCATTTCGTTGAAAGGCCCATTCTGTTTTTATTTTTTATTTTGGCCTCATATTGAGAATTGGAATGTTTGCTGTTATTCTAACCTTGTAAATCATCCAATAGCTGCATAATCTGTAAGAATGAAGAAAGGTAATTTTTGTTCATTGAAGAATCAACACAAAATCCTGAAATGAGCACATTTTTTTCTCATTTTTATCTGCGCAAGACATAGAATTAATTTCAGATTTTTAGTATTTCTTTTCAGAATGATCACTTATAGCCTGGTATCTGAAAACAGAGAAATAATGACCTTCCAAAATTTGTTGGACTATAGGAAATATGGCAATTAATTATGCTAGCTCAGGGGCATTAAACTTGATTTCATTGAGGGCTGCATCAGGTTTGTGTTTGACCTGGGGGGGGGGGCAGAGTGGGCATGACCAGGCTAGGCGTGGCCAGCTCTATGTAACTCATGTCAGGGGTACCTGTGGTGGCCTGAGCACTTTGCCAGAGAAAACAGGCTCCCGAGCTCCTGCAACCCTCTGCCAGAGAAAATGGAGCATGCAGCTCCATTTTTGCTGGCAGAGGAACTGTGGGCCAGTGCTTTGCTGTTTCCAGAGTGGCCCTGCGGGCCAGATCTAAGCACCTAGCGTGTCCGATCTGGCCCCCAGGCCTTGAGTTTAACACCCTGTGCTAGCTGGTAATGGTAGGTAGCTGGGAGTCTATCAACAACTGGAAGACTACAGGTTCCCTGTTGCTTTATTTACTTATTATTAGACTTATTGGCCACTAATTTGTTTCTAGCAGTCAGTATTGGCAATGTTCTGTTCTGAAATGTAAGATAGCATATGGCGCAGATTCTGAATCTGGTACCCTTGCACTCCCATAATTCCCAGCCAGCAGTCATGGTGTCCTCTTTTGTAGGACACCAGGTTTGGGAAGGTTCATTTAGTAGGTGCTGAGCTATAGCTTTGGTCCTGCCATAGAGACATGAAAAACATTACATTTCAGTGGAATTTTTGTAAACCACTTAGATGTATTAAAGAGCCAGAAAACTGTTCTGGAATATAGTTATTCTGTCCCTCTGAGTCACAGTAATTCTCTTTCATGAGTTTGTGGTTTCACTGAAAGGATAAATGAGATGACTACTTTCCTGCTCTGTCATAATCCTTCAGAGTCATAGGCATGTTACCCTGTGAGACAAACATTAATGTTATTTCTAGCCCTAGTTTATGTTGATCCTCCTGTTTCCTAGAGAAATTTGAGAGTAGGTGTGAGATACTGTTTGGGGGCAGGCCAGAGAAGCATTAACAAATGTTATCATGTTTCTAAGGAACCTGCATTACTGTATTTGCTTTGTCAGTATTTGTGACTTCTAGTCTTGAATAATAATTCAAAGCAAGTTAAAGGCCTAATTGTGTTTCATGGGCAGAAATGGGAAATGTGTTGAATTTCATTCTTCTCAAAACTTCTCAAAATTCATTTTTTCTGTTGTTGAAAAATTCAACAGTCCTCCGGGATTGGGCGGCCTATAAATCTAATAAATTGAATTGAATTGAATTGAATTTTTTCTACTGTTGAAAAAGAGAAGGTAGCCAGCTTGCAACCATGTTTTATTGTAAACTACCATTTTGGTACCAAAAAGTACCATTACTTCAGTAGATGTTGCCACAATACACTGTAACAGCAGCTCTAGCATGTTGTTTTCTCCCATAGCAGACATTAACCTACCCTGAAAATTCAGCAGTACAGCATTGTACTCAGGAGAATTCGACATTTTGGACATATGGCCTGAAATCAAAACAAATTCAATACATTGAGACGTATGTAACTAGTAAATTGGATTGAAAATAGAAGTAAAGCTCACACTTTTCCTCTCGTGGATGCCCTGTAAGGACAGAATGATGGATTTTTTATAAAAAAAACCACATGTGAACTTGGGTTTAGAGTATGGGTAGATAGTTTTGAACCATAATTCATCATTTCCTTTGCCAATGCTGGCTGGAGTTCATGTGCACTGACATCTAAAATATTAGGAGGGCACCGTGTTGCCTACCATTATTTTAAGGCTGTGTGCAAAAAGACCCAATAATTAATATTCCCATTAATTGGACAGCTGCTAGAAAAGCTCTGAATTTTTCATAACCTTTATTAAAAGATTTCTATAAGGGCTTCCTGGTAAGGATCTTTGGAAGGTAAGTTATCCTTGTGAATAGAATTGGGACAGAACCACATTGAAATAGGCAGCCAGGAGACAGATTCCTCCAGAGGAAGAAGAGACCAAGGCACTTGGACTGTGGATAGCTGCTCCTTGTGAGGCGATGACAGGAATTAAGTTTCTTGTGGGAGATCATAAGTTGAGTGGTTTTAGAGACAAGGGAATGTCAATGCACCCAGGACTGCTGTGCAGCATTTATGGACATATGATTGGCAAAAAAACAACAATACCCTCTCACTTTCTTAAACATCACAATATTGAGAGATATTCCAAATAGGAGGTAAGAATAAAAACACTTTATGGAATTAACAAGAGAAAAAGATACTATCTTAAAAAATTTAATTTAGAAACAAAAAGTATAAGAACCCTATGATACCAAGAAATTACTATGCCCTTTAAATGGTTAAAGGGCATAGTAATTTTGGAAAACAGATTTATTTTATATATATGGAATCACCTTTGAAAACTGTAAAATTAATTAAACAAACTGAACAGACTTTCATGGGAATGATGATCGTTTATTAGTAAGGGGAAAAAATAATTGATGAATTTTACGAACAAGAAGATAAGGGTAATGTGAGCCTGTAACTATAGAGAGTTAATTGGGACTAAAGTGTTAAAGATAGAGAAAAGCATAATAGAACAAAAAGGAGGAACTTCCCTTTTACTTTCACCCTAGAAATTAACATACTTTTACTTTTTCATAG